TCTTATTTATGTATTTATTTTTTATATATTTAAAAAAACTAATAAATCCCACATATCTGTATTTCCTCACCATAAATCTGAAACCACATTTGAAAATTTTAATTTGAGTTTCACCGGTCACCATCCCATACCTCATCCTCCTCAACTTCTATTTCTTTTCCATCTTTAGTGACATCGACGTCTTCACCGTCCTTCTTTTTTTGGTCCTTCAAGTCTAGCGAACCAACACCATAACCCACTGTCTCTTTATATTTAGTGGGTTGTGGTGTTGATTCGACGGAGTTGAAGGACATAAAAAAGAAGGGATGGTGAAGACGTCGATATCACTAAAGATGGAGGATGAGGGATTGGATGGTGAGGAGATACAAATATGTGTGAGGAGATACAGATATGGGATGACAGGTGGATAAGAGATGAGATGGTGAGTTGATACAAATATGTGGGGTCTATTAATTTTTTTAAATATATAAAAATAAATACGTAAATAAGAAAATTAATTAAAAAATAAATTAATAAGGGCACAATAGTCTTTTTAGGTAAGACGATCACCAAACGCGCAACAAAAGTGAACAGTAGGGATCATCCGAGTTAAAAAAAAATAAGTTAGGACCAAAAACACAAATTCCCCCAAACCACAGGGACCATTCGTGTAATTTACTCTTACTTTTCGTTTTGTTCATATTTGGGTAACTATTTTTTTTATACACATCTAGGTAACGAACTTGTTGAAAGTGTTCACATTTAGGATGCGACCTGTTACAGCCGGTCATAATGGTCATATGTGAACACTTCCAACAAGTTTGTTACCTAGATGTGTACAAAAAAAAGATAGTTACCCATATGTGAACATACCGAATAGTTAATTACCTTAGCAAGTCATTTTCCCTTATATTAACACCTTGTTTCAAGTTTCAGTCTATTGAAAATTATTTGTGTAAAATGTTACTATATGTGAATTTAATTTTAGTTAAAACTTTGATTAATGACTAAATATTGTTATTAAAATAGTTGTAATTAGTAATTAAATATGTTAGATTTTTTTTTACAAAACTTCAAAAAATGGTCCCTGACAAATCATAGTACCTTAGCCAATCATAGTACATAGTAAAAACTGACAAAAATGTTAGATTTTTTTTTACAAAACTTCAAAAATGGTCCCTGTGGTTTTCGAAAATCTGAAGTTTAGTCCTTAATTTACTAAAACCTCATGGATCGTCCCTGTGGTTTCAAAACTTTTAACATATGGTTCTTTTCGCTAACTCCGTTAGCTTTTGGCTGTTAAGTAAAGGGCATTGCTGTGACATCCCCAATTTCACGGCCAGAAATAACCGATTTGTTTATGCCTTGTTTTTAAAATCAGAGTAATCTTTTAAAGAAAACAGTTGCGGAATTTGTTCCCAAAACAAAAATATGATAAGAATTTATCAAAGCATTCCTTTAAAGAAATGTATTTTCATTATATAACAAAATCTCGGTATGTCATGTTCAATACAGACCAAAAGCATAAACAGAACAAAATAGACCTTACAACAGTTATTCATAACTACTGGCCTATAATCCAAAATCTCTCGTTATGTCAGCCAACTTATGCTCTCGTGCCATAACCTGTAATACAAAGAAAACTGAGAGGGTCAGGCTTGGGAGCCTGGTGAGCATATAGTGATTTTCAACCCACAATAATACATTTATTATTCAATCATCAAACAATCAACCCAAATACCCATCCCCATTATTTCATTTATTTCTTAAGGTTTTACCCTAAGAACCAATTATCCTTCATTCATTCATTCCTAAGGATTTACCTAAGGAATTGGCACGAAGTCCATTGCTGCCAAAGTTTATCTATCAGATACTAAATCCATAGCTATCAGGTGCTAACTCCATAGTCACCAAGGTTTACTCAACAGGCACGAAGTCACATCGTCACCAAGTTTTATCAAATAGGCACGAAGTCGCATCGTCACCAAAGCTTACTCAATAGGCACGAAGTCGCATCGTCACTAGGGTTTACACAATAGACACTACGTCTCATAGTCACCAGGGTTTACACAATAGGCACTACGTCTCATAGTCACCAGGATTTACACAATATGCACTACGTCTCATAGTCACCAGGGTTTACACAATAGGCACTATGTCTCATAGTCACCAGGTATTTCATCTACCCATGTTCTACCCCACATATTTGTAGATATAAAATACATATACGGTTTAAATCATTTAAAAACCTGTATAAAACATCAATTCCACACCCATCTCAAATAAACAAACAATACATAACACATAGCACATATTTCATAGCAAATACTTCATATTTATGTGTTAGAAGAAAGTAACTATACGCTCACTTGATCAGAAGATGATCGGACAGCGCCTCGTCAATTAAAATAATCCTCTGCGGTGAAACCGGGATGTTTCCTCCAAAACCGGGCTTCGCGCGGGCAGAGGTTCGGCTCGAATATTATATTTCTCGGGATCTTCGGGGCTTCGGGACTCGCTTCGGGGCTCAGGAATAATACCGGGGCTTCGGGATATTTCTTGCACAAAAAACGATGCAAAAACGAGAGAGAAGGAAAGAAAATTGGCAAAGAACTCGGCTGCCCTCGCACCCTTTATATAGGGTCTGAACCTCGCACATACGCTGGGCGTACGAGGCACTACGTGGGGCGTAGTTCGGATCAGACTTCCACGTGTCGAGCTTCGGGTGGTGGATCATGGCCTTCTCCGGACCGTGCAAGATCGAAATACGCTGGGCGTAACTCCTTCGGACGCTGGGCGTTCCTCGCTGTCGACATGTACGCGGGGCGTACAACTAGGTACGCTGGGCGTACCCTTCGGATTGGATCGGTGACTCCTCGGATTCGGATATTATCCGAAATAATAATTAAATATATATAATTTAATTATTTATAAATTTTAGAAATTCATATCTTCCTCATACGGACTCCGTTTTCGACGTTATTTATATCCACGCGTAGGTGAGACTATGCTCTACAACTTTCGTTTAGATCACTAAGGCTAAATATCACTCCATCGTAAATTCACTTTTTACGTCATTCAGCGTCGTGCCGGTTCTGTCGCGAAACTTCGACAGGTCATAACTGTTGGGTTTTGAGCATTCTAACACTCCTAAGGTGTACATGCAACCCTAATAACCTTGGATCTATGTTTTCTCTAAAATACATGCAAATAAGAATTTCCAAGGTTTTCATCCTAACTAGCATAACATGAAGAACTAGAATCATAATATACTAGAAGAATGACATACCTTTTGATAGTGATTGATTGCTTGGAGTTTGAGAGCCTAGCACCAATAGTGTGAATGCCTCAAGTGGAATCAAAAATCACCACAAACCTTGGAACCTTGAAAGAATAATATATGTGCTCTAGAAATTAGGCCACCACTCTTGTTCACACACAACTAGTGTCATTTCAAGCATCATAAGCTCCTTTATATAGTGTGGAGGATTAGGGTTACATCCATGTAAACCCTAATACCCATGACTCTTCCTTCCCAAGGATCCATGGGTTAAAAGCTCCATGGACTATCCATGGATTCCCATGCATGCCAAGCCCATTCCAAATGAGTATTAGCCCACACTACATAAAATACAATAGCCCATATTTAATTAGTCACCTTTTTGATCACCAAATTAATTCTAAATTAATTTATGACCAATACTAATTAAATAATATGATTTAATATTAATATATTATAACTTATAATATATTAATAAAGCATGAACATACTATTCTCAAAAGATTATCCAAACAAATTGTTCGGGTGAAGTGCAACCCAAATGGACCATGCCGGGTCGGGTCAAGTACATCTCAAATATTGTTATGGACTTAGACACCTTATCCAACAATAACTTCTTCGTTATAACTCGGATTTCAGCGTTCTTTATATGTATGGAACCCTTGTAACATATACTACAACTTAGTTAAGATTATTCCTTCAAAATAATCTTCCATCAAAAGGTCATTTTTGACGCTTATTGACCTTAAATTGACTAGCCCCAATCTACGGGCGTTACAATTATCTCCCCCTTAGGATGATTACGTCCCAGAATCATCAACGAAATAGGGCTTGTAATGATTCCATATGTTACCTCTTCATCCTAGGCAGTGTAACTTCTATGTTTCCTCGAAAGAGTATTTAACTCTAGGGCTTCTTGACTGCAGACGATGCTCAATATTGCATCTTCTTTTCGTACTATGTTGTACTTTCAATCATAACCTTCGAGTTACCAAATAAGTCCTTATTGTGGACTCCTTCTTCTTCTTAGGATAAATACTTTCCTTTATCTGTTGTAACAGACCGATGGGTCGTGCTCTACTGACCTCTCATCGCATGATGTGACGCTTAGACTCGGTCTCTTTTTAAAGTTAAATTCCAGAATGGAATATACCTTCCTTCATATTCTAATGTGATCTAATCACATTTCAGCATGTAGCATTTCTAGCTACAAACTTTATGAACAACGAGTGCGATACCAATGATCGCATTGGCTTCAATCTTATGGCTTACGTCAGATGTTACTTCGAACTTGGTTCTCCGAACCACGTAACATACTCACCGTAGTCGGACTCCAATTGGATATGACCACTAGGGTCGGAACAACAATCATCTTACTAGTCACTACCGAAACAATGGTAATGACATACCAGAATAAAACGGAATCAATCACCAGCTTCTTGGTAACCTTGTGACTTTCCCTGATCCAAGTGCGAGTCATGTGCTTCCGGTAGTATATGCATCTACTACCCTTCACACCTACTCATACTCGTCCCAAGTATTGTCTCGTAGTCCCCAAGTCCTAAAATCACAAAACAATTTAACACATAAGAATGTGTCCAAATAATCATAAACAATTTCCCTAGACTCTACTTGTATTCTCTCTCTCTCTCTCTCTCTCTCTCTCTCTCTCTCTCTCTCTCTCTCGACATGTGCAGTTTCTTTGGGATGCCCAAAAATCTTCCCATATTACAGAAAACTCATGCATGAAGCTTTATGTAACTGCAGACCCTACAACTGCCTATACGCTGGATCTGAATGTTCAGTCACCGAAGACATTCCTTTTCTGGTTATCCATCTCAGAGACGACCACCACACAGGCTGTACTTTTAACCACCGTTATGTCAAATCTAACCCCCGTGAAGTTGAGAACGCTACATGGATGCTAACAGATGAGTTCCCTTCACTTTTCCCCTGATTTCTGATTTCCGATTTTAGGGTTTTTTCCTTTTTCTTTATCGGGGTAATGTTTTATGTTTGGCAGGTGTTCCATTGTTTTGGGCAGTACTTCTGTCTTCACTTTGAGGCGTTTCAGCTAGGGATGTCACCTGTTTACATGGCGTTTCTTCGATTTATGGTGGATGAAGCAGATGCAAGGAATTACAGCTACAGTTTAGAGGTTGGAGCCAACGGGAGGAAACTGATTTGGGAAGGAACACTGAGGAGTATCAGAGATAGCCATAGGAAGGTAAGAGATAGTCATGATGGGTTGATTATACAGAGAAGATAGAATGAGGCCGATGATTGCTATAGGTTTCAAACATTAGGAGTATAAACCCACTTGATTGGGCGTCTGGGTGGTCATCGTTTCATTCATAGAGGTGAGCGGTTTGTCGATTTTGTATCACAAGTGTGGGTGGTCAGTCGGAGATGATATGGTGGCCCTAGGATGAATTGCCAACAGGTAAGCAGTACACATCAATGTCGGCTACTGTCATGGTATCATTCATTTTCCAGAATTTGGTTGTAAACTGTGAATCTGAAATTAATCTTTCTTATGTTATCGATTGGAATTACTATCTCGTTATCATCAATCTGAAATTCATTTTGAGAAAAAATTTTGGAACGACATGATACTTTGATACCCTGTGTTTGATCTGAAGTTCTTGTTTGTGTTTAATGGGTTGAATCGAAGAGGCCATGTTGCTGGAACAAATTTCAGTATGTTGATTCGATGATGTTTTGAAATATGGTAATGAATTTGCAGGTCAAGGAATAATAAGTTGACTTTGTAAGAGAGAGAGAGAGAGAGAGAGAGAGAGAGAGAGAGAGAGAGAGAGAGAGAGAGAGAGAGAGAGAGAGAGGACCATTATATATTAAAATAATTATTTTTTAGTTTTCTTTTTATTTAAAATAATAGAAAACCTTCATAAATGGTCCCTGGGTTAAATGGCGAAAATGCCCTTTACTTAACGATAGAAAGCTGACGGAGTTACGCGGAAGGACTAAACATTAAAAGTTTTGAAACCACAGGGACGATCCGTGAGGTTTTTGTAAATTAGGGACCAAACTTCAGATTTTTTGAAACCACAGGGACCATTTTTGAAGTTTTGTCTTTTTTTTAATTTTTTTTTTTTTTTTTGCATAAAATATGTTATTGTTGCGTGAAGTCAATACTATTTAATAATCAAATATCATTATTAAATAGTTGGTGTTAATAATTGGAAGAAGATTAAATATATTCATATATTTTCTTCATTGACACGTAGATACCATTGATTCTTTCTTTTAATCTTTTTTCTTGATTTTGACACTTGTTTTAATCTAATAATGAATAGGAAGAAAAAGATAGGAAAATATTTGATTTCTCAAAAAAAAATCTTCAAAAATGCATAAAAATGCGAACTATGATGAAACTGATTATTCTCTAATAGATAAAGGTATGTCTCTTTGTGCTATTTACATATCACAAGATACATATATACATATGTTTTATTAACTATTTTACATTATGTTTTATTATAAAATGCAATGATATGAAAATGTACCTCCACAACCCCTCCTTTATGTAAAATTTCCTCTTAAATGGTGATTACGGATCGGTCTCGAAACGTTGTGGTCTGTTGAGACTAGGAATGATCCGATCCTTTTTCGGTTCGGTTTGTCTTTTTTGGATCATGGGCCAATTTTTCATCAGAGTTTCTAGGTTTAATTAATAGATTTTAGATCATTTTTTTATACAATACATCTCTTGAATTGTGTAACCTAGCTTAAACTAAGATAATAGAATTGTAATTCAATAATCAATCAATAAAACCTCTCTTTAGTGTTCGTCCGTGGTGGACTTAACCGATCACTCTGATCGTGTTAACCACATAAAATATTGTTCTCTTGTTTTTCATTTGAGTGGTAGAAGGGATGTGAGTAGTAGTAAAGGTCGTGGGGGAATTTTCACCGGATATGAGAAAGGAAGACTACGTGCTCTACATGTTTTTAATAAAATGAATAGGTAAATTGGTAGTTTAACAATGTTGATTCATAGCTCTTTATTCTGCAATAAATGAGCACTCAACTTAACCCTATGACTCGACAACCAACACAATGTCATCGGAAAAAGGCATACACAAAATGACCAAGGCACATTCCTTTGGATCTCGCTAGACATCTCGTTCAAGATCAAGGTGGAGATATTGGGGTTGGGAGTTGAACCCGATTTCAACAAGACCAGGGTATGTGTCTCTAATTGGAGTCCGAGAACATGTCAGTAGACCAACAATACATATCATGAGTAGCCATAACATACCTATGGGTACCCCTCTAGCTTCCAAGATCCTCCAAATCGCCTCTCATGGAACATTTTCATAAGCCTCTTTAGGTCGATAAACACCATATAGAGATCCCATATTTCTTTCTTTATCTTTATCCATAAAACGTCCAAGTATGTTGATCACTTTTAGTTGTCGACCTCCCATGCATGAAACCAAATGGGTTTGCCTGTAACATTCATGATACTATGCAACCTAGCCCCCAATGTACATTTTGCATTATTTTTGTGATTTCGTTTATAAAATTAACCCAAAGTTCACATGGACACACACGATTTTATTAATAAACCAACCCCTCGGAAACTGGTTTAACATAGAGCAATAAGTCCAGTATACATAACAACGTGGATGAAAAGATCTGATATAGATAATAACCCAAAAAGTTGATAGGTTTTTTCTCCTTTATATTATATAAAAACTAGTTATATGAAAAGATTGGAGAAATAATAAGATGAATTCACAAAATAGAGTCGCCCCTAGAGTCAGAGCTATACACTTGTTATATAATCTAGATTAACGAGCAACTCTCCTCTTCCGTTTTCACCATTCACCACCTCAAACATCAGCAGGTAAATTCAGGTCAAACATACCACGACCATGACCGTCTTTTCTAGCCCTCTTTTGAGCAGAAAAACCACTCTCCTCTGAGCTGCCCGACCCCGAAGGCCGGTCAGATTCCTCAGATGTCCCACCTGCAATACAAAAAAAAAAAAAAAAAAAAGACGTAAATACCTTCCTCCTCTTCCAAGAATGCATGCATTTATTTTGTGATGGTTTACCATTGGTTGTGATGGGGGCATGGAGCTTTTGACGCTTGTCATTGTTGCATGAGTTTGCATGGAAAGTGATGGAAAGTTCTGTAGCCTTTTCGATTCCTTTTGAGTAGTATGGAGCAATGTTATGGATCCCGAATTGTAGGGAGCCCAATAAATCCGTCTCTATACATTCATACCTATAAAAAAAATATATGTATATGAATACAAAACTTGTTGTTTGTTTCTTGTAGTTATATATATAGACTTACATTTTCTTGCATAAGGTGTCGGTGATGACGGAGAGATTAATAACTTGCATCCGTATTTCCATGATCCGATCCTCAGGGTACTGATCAAACGGTTCCTCAATAAACTTTGACAGCTTCTCAACATTGGTTTCAAGTTGCTGTTGTTGATCCTCAAACAGATGCTGTTTTATCTCCATGTCCTCTTTCGTCATTTCATCTTTGAAAAGCTCTTCACCAAACATGTAAAAAGCAAAAGGGTATGAATAGGAAAGCGCTCGCCTTGATCTGAACAACCGATAAAGTCCGTTTGTAACCCAACTGAAGTCTCGTAGGCGTGAATCTTTCTCCTCCAAGATTCTTACTTTTTCTTTTATGGTTTCTTTCAGCCTTGATTCTTGTTTGAATGAATCCGTGTGAGCTTTATAGCGATTGTGGTAGTGCATGTATCGGTACAGGTCTCGTTTTGCGCGTTCCGATTTCTTTTCGCGGTCTTCTTTGTATCGACCGCAGCTGTGACCCGTGATGTTTGACCACGTGTGATCCCGCCCCGTTGCACCACCACATAGCCAACTAGTAACAAAATTTTATTAACCATAAAAATGTCATGGTTCATGGAATCAAATATTCATACAACATACAATAAATAACAAACTTGTGTTACCAAAAGGCTTGTCCACAGATGCAGCTAACTAAATTGCAACCACCGTTTTTCTCAACTGGTTTGTGACACTTTGGACACGGTTTTGTATGAACTGTAATCCAATTAACTGTTTCTGATTCATCTTTACATTTTTTAGTCCAAAGTGCCCACATTGCACATGAACAAGGGGAATGGGCTTCACATAAGCAACTGAAACAGAATTGATTCCCACATGAACATTCCACTTCACAAAACTCATCTTCTTCAACACGGATTGCATTCCCACAATGAGGAGTGCTTGGACACCATTTCACCATCTTATTGTCCTCGATATATGACTCGAGAAGAAACCGATCGAATTTTTCTACCAAATCGGGATGCCTTTTGCCAACTAGATTCCGGATTATGGATTCATCACATATTGCATAACATTTGTGGGCCATGCATCGGATACGTTTACTCTGTCCCTCGTTTATTTTTACAATGAAATGCTCTGTCCAACCTAGAAAAAAAAAAAAAAAGTGACTTCTGTCAGCTGCAAATAATATGTAATGGAAAAAAGAAATACCCTATTGTATCATACCAAAAACTATCAAAAATCCAAATGGTTACTTAAAGATATCTTACAATTGTTACAAAAGCAGTGGCCACAATCCATTTTTGTCTGCTCACTAGATGGCAAGTCCTCCATGCATATATCACACATTGTTGTACAAGTAGACACTGAAGGATCAAGGTCATGAGAGTGAAGCATAGGTAAGCCAGCCTCTTTAAATAAACGATCTTTTCCCTTCTCTACAAGCACTGCAAATATCTTCTCAACATCCCAACGATAATGTATAAGTAGCGTACGTGCATGGTGCTCCCTTAAAGAAAGTAATTCCATAACTCTGCGTAAATCTTCCCTCTAAACAAATAACATAAGTAACATATCATCATTCATTAGTCATTACTATAGGTTGTAAGATAGGCAGTTGGGTTAAGTAGAACTAGGCTTCTAAAGTTATACCTGTGCAGCCAAAAGAGACTCTTTTGTGATGACCTGAAAAAGATGCAACAAATGATTCAAAAGCTAAATAGTAATAATGACATTATCTCACAACCAAAAACAATCAACAGTTATATAAATTTCCATGAAGAACACATAAAGGAGTATGCTAGCTTCAATCGTGTCCCTTTAGCAGAGTCACCAGCTTATTTTTCTTTAATCTTTAAGATAACAGTGTCATATGGGCTATGTCAATCTAACAACAGGCCCATAATGTGTTGAGCTACAGAGCTTGAAATTATGTTAGTTTAATAGACGTGATTGAAAAGGGTGA